ACCAAGAAACGAATCTTATGACATTACGCGAAATGTATCAAAATGTAGCGGAAACTCAGGATGGTGTGTGTCAGTAGCTTACAACTGGGCTAAAAGTTGACCACCACGATGTGCGCATCGTCACAGTTTTTTTGGGGGCAAACCCGTTTGCCATAAAATTTACCAGGGGTCTTTGGCATCAATGTAAAGGCGAAGAAGTGGGCTATCACACTGTGGTATTAGCTAATGGGATCCAGTTGAACAGCAAAAAAGACAAGCACAAATAAAGTGACCAAAAATTGCTAATGTTTCGAAGGCCGTAGCGCTAGCTGTTATTTTGCAATGCACGAAATATCTACCTGGTTGTACACGGCAAAGCCTGCAGATATGAAAAAGTATAAACATCATGTGGGTCTGAGGTATTTTTGTTACACTATAGGCAGTTGTTTACACCCATGCAACGGGGTCAAATCGTGACCCGGCAAATGCCGTATCTTAGAGAATAACGCGTTCTACGGTGACCTGCGGTTCGACTGTAGAGGTCAATAACAGAAAAATCAATGTCAAAGGTCACCCTGTTTGGGCAGAGTTAAATAATATACATTCTAGTGTCTACTGCTATGGGGCCGGTGAGTGGGTGAGTGAGTGAGTGAGTGAGTGAGTGAGTGAGTGAGTGAGTGACTGAGTGAGTGACTGAGTGAGTGAGTGAGTGAGTGAGAGTCATCTTTACCAGAAAAGTAGGACTTAGTTGGCAAAATTTGCCAATAATTTTTTTTCTCGTAATTTCTAAAATATATATATGTACAAAGTACCTTTTTTGCGCATGTTGATTGACTGGACTCATCCTCCACTTGCCACAGCGCTGCCTGATGAGTCTCCGCATCTGGGCACAGCGGATAGTGGGGAGGGCCTGAGTCGGGGACGGGCTACCACAGGCCCGAACACGCGCGTAACCTCTCCGCCCACCCACCGCCATTTCCGGAATTCAGAGCTATATTTTGGGTACCCGAAACGAGGTTTTGCACGACGTGAGGTTACTCAACCTACGTCGGTTTGCACGCGTGCCGATACTCATTTCCGCGACTGTTTGCACGCGTGCCGTTCCTCGCGCTGTGCTGAGTTCACACGCGTGTATGTCCTCGCGCTGCACTGACCTTGCACGCCCGTGGAATTCCTCACTACAAACCGAGTAAACACGCATGTTGTGGGCGCAAAAGTGGAGGGCAGAACGCCGTAATGCCGGACCGAGCCTGACTAACTACCGTTGCGTGCATTTCCTCGAGGCGTCCCAAATTTACTCGCATGTGTATTTCCTCACTAAGAGCCGGGTAGACACGCATTTCGCGACCGTATAATGTGCGACCGAAGACCGAGCATTTTTACTACATGGGTGCACGGAGCGACCTGTCGGCTAAATCAGTTCAAAGACGTGCTCAAAATAAACGAGGTTTCTGTTCCGTGGGCACGCACAACGAGCGGGAGAACAGCGATGTATTTATTTTTTTAATGGACCATTTTGATAAGACATATCACCGAATCGACGGGTAAGTGTGTACAACGGTGCGTCTGTCTTTGAGATCGTCGGCACGGGACGCGCGTACATTTGCTCACTACAACGGTGTTTTGCACGTTATTCGAAATGCGATTGTTCTTTTTACGTAACAGGCTACAGCTAGCGTTATTTATAGTTCGTTGTGAGTGCAGTAGAGGAAGAGACGTGGCCTTAGGAAGACGTAAACAACACTCAATTAATGACACATTGGGAGGTGGAAACCCATTTTATTGCAGAGTAAGTTGGCTAGCGCACGCCTTTGATGGCCTACGTTTTCCAAATTACTCCATACATTTGCTCATTTTGCAACTACTCTGTACGATTGTGATATCCCATTTTAGAACTTCCTTCCCTTTCTTACATTTGTGTGTGTGTGTGTGTGTGTGTGTGTGTGTGTGTGTGTGTGTGTGTATTTTTCACGAGACTTGGCAAGCGTATCAGGGCTATTGTGATGTTACGATCCTTTCTTTGGTGACTAGACTTTATGTTCTCACGCGTTTTGTTTATGTTTTTAACCGAGACATTTAGCATGTTTTGTTTCAGATGCGTTCTCGGTGAAACGACCGTTCTTTACAACGTTTTTAGTAACAAGTCATATTCATATTACGTGTTTCGTTTCGTTCATGTGTTGACAAAAATTATTTGTTCCTGAATGAAACAGAATTATAGATTATGTAATGCGTTTTGCTTTATTATTGGTACTGTTTGTTCCTGAATAAAGATAGATTATGGGATACTAGTACGCTTGCTTAGGGCAAGGAGGTTCTATAGGGGAAAATGCTTTTGGAAAGTCTCTTTCCTTTCTGGTTTACCAGGCGATCTCGGCGATCACCATCCCACGCTGCACGTACTTGATTGGCAGACGGTTACCTTTGAAGACGTCGCCGTCGGCGCCCCGGAGTCTGGTCGGCTTCCGGCCCGAAGAATTCAATTAACTGAGCAGCCAATGAGCATTGAGAAAAATGTAAAGTCGGTCTTTCTTTCAACCCCCTATGTTCTACCAAGGAGATTGTCAGATATTATTGTCTTCCATGGTCTAAAAAAGAGAAGTCAAATCCCTTAGACATAGTTTTAGACATAGCTATAGCTTTAGACAACTACCTTTTATCATGTAGATTTTAGTTATTTTATACTCTGTTTCATTGTTCTTTTATGTTTGTAATTTGCAATTAGCCCCGGGGCACGAATTTGCAATAAACTTCTCATTGTTGTCATTATTATTCGTGATAACAAATTGAAGTTGTACGGACT